CACTGTCCTAATATTTCATGTATAGTAACTCATTTAATGTCTCAAGACAAATCAGCAGGACAGATATTTTTTTCTCTTTGTTTTTTGATTGATGTTTAAATAGCACCTGTAATGGTGCCTTGCACAAAGTTAGACTTTATGAATATTTATTGAATAAATGAATGAGTGTAACAACCCTTGACAATTTGCAGAAACACACCAAGTCTTCTCTTTGTCAAAAAATGAAGTTCAGGATAGTTAAGCACCTGAGACATTACTCATCAAATGGATACTGCAATTTGTGCACTGGATTTTTTTTTTAAATATGATTCTAATAGCTTATTGACAAAAAGTCTTGTTTGGTCTTTTTATGCTAAATAAACTTTGATATATAGAATCCTGCCATCTCATTGACTTTATGGTTTTAGATATATTGTGGTATTTCTCATGAATCTTACCATGATGGTGGGTTCTTGATATTGTTTGGCTGTGTCCCCACCCAAATCTCATCTTGAACTGTAGCTCCCATAATTCCCATGTGTTGTGGGAGTGATCTAGTGGGATATAATTGAATCATGGGGGCAGTTTTCCCCATACTGTGATAGTGAATAAATCTCACAAGATCTGATGGTTTTATAAGGGGAAACCCCTTTCACTTGTCTTCCATTCTCTTGTTACCTGCCACCATGTAAGATATGCTTTTCACCTCCCACCATGATTGTGAGGCCTCCCCAGCCACATGGAACTGTGAGTCCATTAAACCTGTTTTTCTTTATAAATTACCTAGTCTTGGGCATGTCTTTATCAGTGGCATGAAAATTGACTAGTACAGTAAATTGGTACCAATAGAATGTTGTGCTGCTGTAAACACATCCAATGACTATGGAACTGGGTAACAGGCAGAGGGTGGAACAGTTTGGAAAGCTCAGAAGAAGAAAGGAAAATGGGGGAAAGTTTGGAACTTCCTGGCGACTTCTTAAAAAGCTTTGACAAAAATGCTAATAATGATAGAGACAATGAAATCCAGGCTGAGGTGGGCTCAGATGGAGATGAGGAACCTATTGGAAACTGAAATAAAAGTGACTCTTTCTATGTTTTAGCAAAGAGACTGGCGGCATTTTGCCCCTGCCCTAAAGATCTGTAGAACTTTGAACTTGAGGAAGATGATTTAGGGTATCTAGCAGAAGAAATTTCTAAGCAGCAAAGCATTCAAGATGTGATTTAGGTGCTGTTAAGAGCACTCTGTTTTAAAAGGTAAACAGTATACTTGTTCAGAAAATTTACAGCCTAAAGATGCAATAGAAAAGAAAAACTCATTTTCTGAGGAAAAATTCAAGCCTGCTGGAGAAATTTGCATAAGTAATGAGGAACCAAATGCTTATCCCCAAGACAATGAGGAAAATGTTTCCAGAGCATGTCAGAGACCTTTGCAGCAGCCCCTTCCGTCATGAGCTGGGAGGCCTAGGAGGAAAAAATGATTTCCTGGGCCAGGCTCAGGGCCCTCCTGCTGTGTGCAGCCTACAGATTTTGTGCCCTGCATCCCAGTTGCTCTAGCCATGGCTAAAAAGGGCCAAGGTACATCTGGAGGCATGGCTTCAAAGAGTGTAAGCCCTAAGCCTTGGCTGCTTCCATGTGGTGGTGAGCCTGCAGGTGCACAGAACTTAAGAATTGAGGTTTGGGAACCTCTGCCTAGATTTCAGAAGATGTATGGAAATGTCTGGATGTCCAGGCATAAGTTTGCTGCAGGGGCGGGGCCCTCATGGAGAACCTTTGCTAGGGTAGTGTGAAAGGGAAATGTGGGGTTGAAGCCCCTACACAGACTCCCCACTGGAATACTGCCTAGTGGAGCTTTGAGAAGATGGCCACCATCCTCCAGACCTAATAATGGTAGATACACTGACAGCTTGCACCATGTACCGGGAAAAGCCATCCTCACTGCCAGCCTGTGAAAACAGCTGGGAGTGGGGGCTGTACCCTACAAAGCCAGAGGGGTGGAGCTACCAAAGACCATGGAAACCCACCTCTTGCATCAGTGTGACCTGGATGTGAGACACGGAGTCAAAGGAGACCATTTTGGAGCTTTAAGATTTGACTGCCCTACTGGATTTTGAACTTGCATTGGACCTGTAGCCTCTTTGTTTTAGCCAATTTCTCCCATTTGGAACAGCTATATTTACCCAATGCCTGTACCCCCATTGTATCTAGGAACTAACTAACTTGCTTTTGACTTTCTTTGACTTGCTTTGTCTGAGATGAGACTTTGGACTGTGAGCTTTTGAGTTAATGCTGAAATGACTTAAGACTTTGGGGGACTGTTGGGAAGGCGTGATTAGTTTTTAAATGTGAGGACATGAGACTCGGAAGGGGCCAAGAGTGGAATGATGCAGTTTGGCTGTGTACACACCCAAATCTCATCTTGAATTATAGCTCTCATAATTCCCACATGTTATGAGAGAGACTCAGTGGGGGCTAATTGAATCATGGGGTTGCTTTTCCCTGTACTACTCTTGTTGTAGTAAGACTTATTCACTACCACAAGAACAGTATAGAGAAAAAACCACCCCCATGAGATCTGATTGTTTTATAAGGGGTTTCCCCTTTCACTTAGGTTTCATTCTCTCTTGCCTGCTACCATGTAAAATGTGCCTTTTGCATTCCACCATGATTTTGAGTCCATCACAGCTATGTGAAACTGTGAGTCCATTAAACTTCTTTGCTTTATAAATTACCCAGTCTCAGGTATGTCTTTATCAGCATGTAAAAGCAGACTAATACAGTTCTAATACTTTGTTTAACCTCTTCTTTGAGTGGATGCAACCCATAAACAAATACCTTTCATTTCTTGAGACATTACCTATTAAGTAAACATGTTTAGAAATGAGAAATAATTTTGCCTCAAAAATTTCTATTTCCTAATTTGTCTTTTGGGCCACCAAGGGTTTCTTATATCAGAATTTCCTAAGACATGCTCCTTCTGTTCTCTAAAACACACTGAACATGGAAGACTTCACAGACTCCTTTGTTAAACAAATATAAGGGTACAACAAAGAGCAAGAGCCACTGGTACACCTGTCCACATGGCAGTTGGAAGCTTGTCTGCGGTTTCTCACAATCCTTTTCTCAAAGACTATTTATTTCTTATTTCCCACCTATTTCCATCCCTGGGGAATGGGGAGAAATGGATGTGTGTGAGACTGGAGAGATGAGTGGGGAATTATGTATACATTTTTAAAAATGCCCACTTCTGAGATTCTCTGAGAGTCATTGTATTATAGTCACAGCCCGGATCATGGGTGATGATACTATAGCATAGATAAAAATGCCACAAACTCAAGCCTGTAATCCCAGCACTTTGGGAGGGTGAGGCAGGTGGATCACAAAGTCAAGAGATAGAGACCATCTTGGCCAGCATGATGAAACCCTGTCTCTACTAAAAAATACAAAAAATTAGCTAGGTGTGGTGGTATGCACCTGTAGTCCCAGCTACTCAGGGAGTCTGAGGCAGGAGAATTGCTTGATCCCGGGAGGCAAAGGTTGCAGTGAGCTGAGATCGCACCACTGCACTCCAGCCTGGTGCCTGGCGACACCAGTGAGACTCTGTCTCAAAAAAAAAAAAAATGCTACAAACTTGCTTAGGGCACTGACAGGAACATTATTTATAATGAAAAGAGCAAGCTATGTAGGAATAGAGAGCCCTGGGTTTAAATTCTAGCTCTACCCTCATGCGTGTGGCACCTTGACCGAGGTATGTCTACCTCAGTTGAGCCTCAGTTTTCTCAGCAACCCTATGAAACAGGAAATTCTATTTCCATTTTTCCATAAGGAGATACCATTACATATACACTAGAATGACTAACATTTAAAACACTGTAAAGACCCATTTTTGGCAGGAATGTAGAACAACTAGAATGTTTGTACACCATTGGTAAGAATGTAAAATTGCATTACCACTTTGGAAAATTATTTGACAGTTTCTTACAAAGTTCACAATGCATCTACCGTATGATTGAGACATTTTACTTCAATATATTTATTCAAGAAAAATGAAGAAATGTATTTTCTCTGAGAATTGTACGTTAATTTTCCTAACAGTTTTATTTGCAATAGTCCCAAACTGGAAACAACCAAAATGTTCATCAACAAGTGAATGCATAAATGAATGTGATGAGTGCGTTCCGTAGACTAGATTCCTGCTAGCAACAAAAAGCAACAACTACAAATACATATTGTAATGTGGGTGAATATCAAAACAGCATGCTGATTGAAAGAAGCAAGACACAACACATAATCTGCAATTCCATTTACGTAAAATACATCTCATCTATAGTATCAGAGAACAGATCAGTAGTTTAGGGTGGGAGTAAAGAAAGAAATGGACTGCAAAAAGCATAAGGCATTTTGTTCTGTAGCTTGATTGCAATACTATTCTCCTGGGTATGTATCGTTGTCAAAACTCTTCAAGTGGTGCACTTTGAATGAATGTGTCATTGTTTTGTTATTCCTTAACAATGTTGATTAGGGAAAAGTGTAAGCTGTTTAAAGCAAAAGTAGCAATGAGGTTTATAACACATGTAGAAGATCTGTGTTGAGATATATATATATATATATATATATATATATATATATATACACACACACACACATACACACACACATATCTTTATATATAAAATCTCAACAGTACCAAAGTGGATGGGGTAGTGGAATTGAGGTATACTGTATCGTTGTAAGGTGCAGAATTTCCAATGGAAGTGGAATTAAAAAGTTACAAATACAAGAGGCATGTGAAACTTTTTTGTGTCTGGATGAAAGAAAATAATTTGGAACATGATCCTATGTGTGTAGACCAAAAGAAGAGGAGAGTTGAGCATAGGGCCCACTTTTTGCTGGGTCAAGGGATGCCTAGACAGATGTCAGTGTAAGTGGTGAGGCCTATAAATGAACTGGAAGAAAAGTAAACTTGGACAGAAAGTAGAGGAGAGAATGTTGTGGTGGAGACTCATGGTGGCTTTGTCCCGCAGGTATGCTGGGGCCCTCCTGGATGAGGATGTCTTCCAGGGAAAGGAGCTGGTCAGCCGTCGCTCGCTGCAGGCTCTGGTGGCGGGGCTGAAGGCCTACAGCACCTGGGAGCACATCCGCTGCCTGCAGGCCTGCCGCGAGTGCACCGGAGGAATGGTGAGCCCCAAGGCCTGCAGCCCTGCGGGTCTCTACCATACGGGACACCCTGGGGGAGCACTGTGGGGCGGGCAGAGAACATGCTTCAGAGTCAAATGGAAATCCCAACTAGCGGTGACTCCAGATTCCTTCCTTACCAGCCTTGCAGTCTTTCCTGTCTCCCTCATATGATGCTAGAGCTCGTGTTTGTAAAACGGCTGGCCTGTGGAGGCAGGAAATACGTGTGATGAAACTTGGTAGGGCAAAGGTAGTCCACCAAAACTTGATGGACAGAGTGGGAAAGGGCCACTGAAGGTTCAGACGCTCAAAGCTCCGCTCCAGTGTTTGAATCCCTTGGGGCGAACACAGGAAATGACCTCGAGGGTTTCCCACCCCAGGTGAGGACGCAGCAGGCGGAACATTCAGAGACTTCCTGGTGTGCCCCCAGCCCCAGTCTCAGAGTGGATTGTGCGATGAGAAGCACGAGGTGTGAGAAATTCCAATATGAACATTTGGGGGAGTTGAAGGGGTTTCTGAGAGCAGCTGGATTTGTGTGCAATCATGAGAGCAGAGGCCCTACAGGACTCTGCAGGTTTCCGCACCCATGCAGGGGTCTAGAGCCCATCACAAAGTGAACCCAAGTTGAGTGTCTGAGAACAGGGCAAGCAGCATGAGGCTGTGGGCCTGTGACGCAGTGGCACAGCGGGACTGCAGTCCCTGCTCTGCGCCTCATTCCAGTGCAGGCCAGAGGCAGCCCCTCCCGGAACTCCAGACCACGCCCCAGAAGAGGATGGGAGGAGGGAGCCCCTGTTGGCTTTTGGTCTGAATTTAATGCTGAACTTGGTCAACTATTTGCCTAAAAACAGCACCTCTGAACATGAAGTGGGAGATGAAGAGTTTTAGCCTCAGTAGAAAATGGGTCAAGGGCAGCTGTAGAAAATCAAAGGGGAAGGATAAATTTCAGAAAAGCCAATTCCCTTAGTGTGGAGCTAACAGATTGTACAGAGGGGCCGTGGTGAAGATGGGCTAAGCCTTCATAAGAGGCAGAGCTGAGGGCAGAGCCTAAGGGACTCTTCCATGTGATCCATGGTGTTTGTCCATCTGAAAGCCAGTGTGATCATTTCTTTTAGGTGGCTGAGTGAAGATGTGTCCCTGACGATGGTGGCAGGTGGGGCATGCCTGCTTCATTCCTATGGGGATGCTGCATGGGGTCCATGTGGAAAAGAAAGGGAAAGGAGAAGAAAATAATAGCTGGCGTAGGGTGCAGCTGGCCAGGAACTGAGGCTCTCCAAGGCAGTTGGGGCAGTGGTTCAATGTGACTCTCCTTAGCTGAGGAGTGCCCTGCCAGGGAGTTAGTTTCCGTCTGCATCTCCAGGAGGTGGCTGTCCCTTCAATCAGCAGGCTGGCAGTAGCTGGGAACACAGCCTAGGGATTCGGGGGTAGAGTAAGAAGGTTAGGTCAGCAGGTGGGGGGTTTGATCTGAAGTGGCCCTGCAGGCAGGGGCAGCCCACATAGTGGGGAGTTGGGGCATTGCTGTGGGCCCTGAGCTCAGAAACTGTAGTCTTGACAAGTGACTCAGCCTGAGGTCTCGCTCAGAACCCCCTGCAGGCTCCTGGTCCTCTGGGCTCCTCATAGCCCAATTACCTGGGGGTAATTCTCTTACCCCCAGGCCTTTATAGCCTCCCTGCACAGAGATCCTCCTGTGTGCCTCTTGTCATCCTAACCCTCGTCTCTCCGTCCTGGCTCCAGTGCTCATTATGGGAGGCCATATTTCCCCAGGGTCAATGCCGAGCCCTGGAAATACCACCCGGAACAATCACCCTTGCCTGCTCTCCAGTGGTCTGGCCTGTCATGCTTACCTGTGCTGCCCAGGACCACCCAGCAGTGCAGAAATGGCCCCACCTTGTTAGAGAAGACACATCTGCATGCTGGAATGCCAGGCCCCCGGGCATGCTGCCTCACAGAGCTCTGCACCCGGCAGCTTCTAAGCAACCTAGGGCAGAGGACCCTAAAAGGCAAATGCTGTGTCCTCTGCTCACAATACTTCCAACACCAGATGTGTGGCTTCTGCCGTAACAAGCAGTTCTCTAATTCTCTGTGGACAATAATGGAGTGCTCTACAATAGTAGCCTTCAACCTTTTTGGCATCAGGAATGGTTTTGTGGAAGACAGTTTTTCCATAGGTGGTGTTGGGGGTCTGGGGGGGGCAAGGTAGAGGGGATGGTTTCGGGATGAAACTGTTCCACCTCAGATCATCAGGCATTAGATTCTCATAAGGAGTGCACAACCTAGATCCCTCATGTGTGCGGTTCACAATAGGGTTCATGCTCCCATGAGAATCTAATGGTGCCACTGATCTGACAGGAGATGGAACTCAGGCAGTGATCCTTGCTCCCACCGCTCACCTCTTGCTGTGTGGCCTGGTTCCTGACAGGCCACGGTCTGGTACGATTTGTGGCCTGGGGACTGGGGACCCCTGCTCTACAATTTAATTCATTCTGACACTGGCTACCTGGAGTACATGCAGACTCCACAGATTAAGGCCTAAGTTCCATAAATCTTCCCCCAACTTTGGATGCTAGTCGCAAATAGTGTTTCTCTAGGTTACCCTCACTGGTTTTATTGTTATTGAGACAGGGTCTCACTGTCACCCAAGCTGGAGTACACTGGCACAATCACAGCTCACTGTAGCCTCAAACTCCTTGGCTCAAAGAGTCTTCCCTCAGCCTCCCAAGTAGCTGGGACTACAGGTGCACACTACTGTATCTGGCTAATTTATTTTTGGTAGAGAGAGGGATCTTACTATGTTGCCCAGGCTGGTCTCAAACTCCTGGCCTCAAGTCATCCTCCCAACACACCCTCCCAAAATGCTGGAATTACAGGTGTGAGACATTGTTCCAGGTCTACCCACAGTTTTGCCTATTTGTCTATAATTTAGGAATTCCCATGACCCTCTCCTTAGGTTCAATAATTTGCTATAACAGCTCACAGTACTCAGGGACACACTTAAATGTTTACTGGAAATAATTAAGGATACAGATAAACAGCCAGATCGGCTGAGGTCCAGAAAGATTCTGAGCACGGGAGCTTCTGTGCATCTGGAGTTGGTGTGCACCACCCCACCCAGTACAAGAATGTGTTCACCAACCTGGAAGCTCTCTGAACCACATATTTTAGGGATTTTTATAGAGGCTTCTTCACATAGGCATGATCAATTATTAACTCAATCTCTAACTCCCCTCTCCTTCCTGGAGGATGGCGGGGGTTTCAGGGAGGGCATAAAAACTCTGAGCTTCTAACCATGGCTTGGCATTTCTGATGACCAGGCCCCATCCTGAAGCTGTCCACGTGCCCACTAGGAGTTGCCTCATTAGAACAAAAGATGCTCCAACACCCAGGAAATTCCAAGAGGTTTAAGAGCTCTGTGTCAGGAACCAGGATCAAAGAGCAAATTTAGAACAAAGAATGCTTCTAGCATCCCTCCAGAAATTACAAAAGTTTTAGGAGCTCTGTGCCAGGAACAAGGGATGAAACAAAATGTGCATTTCTTATTAGATCGCAGTATCACAGTATCATCACCCTGATTTCTTTGTTCCTTCCCTTCTCCTCCCCACCCCCAATCCACCTGGCACCTAGCATGGGGATATTTGTAGAGACACAAATATTTGTTGAAAGAAAAGAATAAGCATCTTCTAGTTGTTTTAAGCTCATATGCACACACACTGCATATTTTTCAGGCTGGAACTCCCTGGGAGTGAAGTCTATGCTTGAATCTGGGGCTACTGAGAGGATACTGAAGACCATCTCTCTCTGGTTTTTTGTTTTGTTTTGTTTTGTTTTCGTTTGTTTTTTTTTTTGGCTTGTAGTACTAGGTAGATCTTGCTTCAAAAAAAAGTATTTCAACACATATTTACTGTCTTTGAAGCCAGTAATCCTGGGTGTGACTTTGGGCCAGTTATTCCCACCCTGTTCCTCAGTTTTTCCGTACGTAATATGGAGATAAGCCTTTCCTTGTAGAGGTTGTGGGAGTTAAATTCTATGAGACAAAGAACATAAAATGCGTTCTCATTTTATGCTCTTTGTCTCATAGAATTTAACTCCCACAACCTCTACAAGGGAAGGCTTATACATGGACACAGGGAGGGGAGCACTACACACTGGGGTCCGTTGGGGGGAAATGGGGGAGGGACGGGGGGGTGGGGAGGTGGGAAGAGATAGCATGGGGAGAAATGACAGATACAGGTGAGGGGAAGGAAGGCAGCAAACCACACTGCCATGTGTGTACCTATGCAACAATCTTGCATGTTCTTCACATGTACCCCAAAACCTAAAATGCAATAAAAAAAAAAGAGCATAAAATGCGTAACACATGGACTCAGGAATTAGGAGTTGATGTTTCCTTGATGTGCCCAGGCTGGGGATTTGGAGAAAAAAGATGCCACATGGTCTCTATTGCTTGCCATTGTACAAGGTAGACAGGTGGTGGCAGAGCCCAGCACAATGAGACAGGCCCTGTGCGGTAGCAGGGGCTCAGAGTACTCAGCGTGAAGTAGAGAGTCCCCAAGCAACGCCACTTAAGCAACTTAAAGAATGAGCAAGAGCCTTCCAGGTGGGGCTGGAGGACCTGCCAGGCAGGGGAACCTGAACACAGGATGAGGGTGTGGGAGTTTGTGGTACACTGAGGGACACATGATGGGCATGGCTGGGTCTCAGTGAGGATGCAGGGGAGGAAAGGAATAAAGGGAAAAAGCAGGAACCAGACCTAGAGAAGGGGCGAACCCTGTCTGCACAGCTGCCTGCAGCAGGTGCTCTGGGGTGCTGTCAGGCCCAGCACCACGTAGTGCAGCTGACTGGGTGCAGAGGCTCAGCCTGCAGCACTGCAGCACAATGCCTGGCACTTACGGACACTTCATGTCAGCTATTCTCACTTATTGCCATTTTACAAATGAGTAAACTGAGGCTAGACTATGAGGGCAGTTAGGGCAGGGACCAAGTCCTTGATCACTACAGCCTAAGTCTGA